GCTACGCATGCCGAAACACCGTCTACCGAGACGAGTGTTGTTCTCCGTGCCTCCTTCAGGATGGCGCAAACCGCGAGGTGGACAGCACATGACTTGGCAGAAAGGCGTGAAAGAGATCACGAAGAGTTTGTGTGTTGTTGGTGTGGTGAGACTTCCAGGATGGGGTCCCCGTGACCCCGTCTGTGCTTGGCTGGAGACGTTGCAAGAAATGGCGGCGAATCGATGTCAGTGGCGTTCGTGCTGTCAGTTTCTTTCCAGATTGTCTGATTGAGCGGTTGGAGGTGTAGGCACCTCAGAATGCTTGATATAGGCCAGCACTAGGTCCCCTCCCTCACCCACTCTTTTTCTCTTCTCTTCAGTGTAGGACTTTTAATACTATTATATATATATAACTAAACGAACTTTATGGTTGTACGGCAGTGAAGCATCTGTGCTAGCACTGATGTTGCTGTCTTTGATGATGATCATGAAGTTTGGTGAAAATTCTTTGACAAACTACGACTAGTTTTGTACTTCTTGGGGTTCACCTGTTGATGCGGGTCCCGAGTTTCTGTCAACTTTATGCTTTGCTGGAACCCTAATTTGGCGGAATTTGACATCTATTCCTACTTGGGCAAAAATCTTGTTTTGATGGGAGACTCAACTATCCTTTCGTTTGTGCTGGTCTGCTTTAACTAAATGTGCCTCCTCATGTTTCTCAAATATTGTAACATCTGAAACATTAGGCAGCACATTCAGTTGAAGCAGACCATCAGAGAGATGACGTTCATTCATCTGAGCCCCCTGTCAAAACCAAATCCGTGCGTAAATGAACGTGTTTGTCGAAAACCTTGTTTTTAGTGACGAGTTAGGTTGATTTCTACTATAGTGTCTTTTACAAACGAAAGAAAATAACGGTTGATAACTAACTCTCTAAAGAGGATTGATTTTTGCCATTTGCCTGTACTAACTAAAGTTTGTGTTTTGTCTCCCGTACATACGATCAATAAAGTCATGGGTTCCATACACATTCTGCGTTTTTTTAAAATTAACTTGTCCGAAATTCCTTTAATAGCGGGATGTCGGCCAGTTTGATGGCAACATTTTAGTTTTTTACTGCTTGATTTTCACTGCTCATATTTCATGCCCTTTCCTTTGGTGCTTCGGTTGCCATGACACTTTAGACATTTTTATTTCGGAGTAATACAACACCCAATATCAAGCTGTCATTATTTATGTCCATCTCTGGAGGGGAAAAGGTGGAGCGACACAACAGTATGAACGTTTTGGTTTGTAGTCATACCATAGATGCCTACAAAACTTTTCTGCCACTCAACTAAATCACAACAGTATGGTGGGCGCACATTTACATTAAGCATCTATTTGCCCGGCGACGACAGTTTGATTGAATAGGCAAACGAAATGCGGTGATAATTCAAGCCTTCCACATTTATAATCACAACGCAAATTCCAAACCCGCTAGTTAATGTAGAGAAAGTGCTTTTCTGGGGAGGCATTATTTATGAATGAGTTCGGAATCAGTCACATTCTTTCGTAATGCACGAGTGGTTGGCAGATAACGATAAAAGAGAACGATTTACGCCTGTGTTGCTGGACAATTAATATATGGCCTTTTATTGCTCTGGGATGATTGCCGGGCTGTGAAATATTTGGCTCAACAATGACTTCAGAGCGTCTTCTGGTTGAATGGCTACCTCTGATGTGGCCAAAGGGGGATTATGAAAACTTTGATCGTTCGGATGACTGTTGTTATGTTCTCTGAACTGGACAGTTTGGTCGCAAATGCTGCGCCATCCACCGGGTGTACATCACCAGCGAATAGTCAGTTGGCGTTGCGTCACAAGAGGCCAGGGTGTAGACGGTGTGTACTGTTATGCGTTTGCTTATATAGGTCTTGTTTGGATGGTTGATTCCGTTTGTCGAACATTCGGCTAGCAACCTGGATAGTCAATGTTCGAATGACAATGTCCTCTCCAAATTATGTTGGATAGAATGTGACCCGTCAATTCCGCGGTTGCCAACCTCGCCACCTTTTTCATACGTCATAAGATGGGTTCCTCCTGCTTTGCTCGACTAATCTGGCGATCCATTGTTTTTGGTGGCACATAGACTAGGTCGGCTTCTGTAGTCCAGTTGACTAAGTCTTTTGTGGAGTGCTGTGAGCGTTTTGGCATGCCAAGACTATCGCATTTTCTAGACTGAAGTTATTTTCTTCTTGATCTCCATTCATTGAAAACAGGGGAGATAATGCTTTCTGAATGTGGAATTGTGCTCTACCATCGGTGTAGACTGTTTCCGTCCTGTTTATCCAAAATTAAATTCATTTCAGTCCATGTGGCTTATCCGCTAAACGATATTATTCCCGGAATTCCAATTGATCCCCTTCCTCGATTCTAAAATCAAATTTCTACGGCAGCAGCCTATTCGTGGGTTACCAGGATTCCCTTTGATCGTACTCTGGCTGTTTGTTGTGAGAGATGAATCAAAAACTTATCAAAAAAAATTTACAAAAGAGCTAACCTACTGGACAATGATCTCAACCAGCTGAGTATCCATCGTTACAGAATGGTTTGGTTACCAGACGATAGACTAACTGATGTGCAACACTTAGCTTTTGGCACAAAATCTTCGTAAGGCCATTTGAGTGAATTAGGGGATTGACCGAAGTCTGGGCAAAACGTCTACCAAATGTTCCACAAAACTCTGAGATGAAAGCTCACCTAGAGGACTGATCTTTAAGTCTTGAAATTATCCAAGGTTTATTTACCGTACCGCTTTCACCTAAATAGGGCAGTAAATTTCCCCTACTCTTGTTACTGACAGCACATATGCTATACTATCATCCGTGTTGCAAAACAAAGGCTTCACCTTTATGACTCAGCTTATTCACTGACTTACCAGAAGTTTGATTAGATGAAGAGAATTAGGATACCCGTCTGCTACACAGAGCAATTAATTTGAAACTCACTAATAATAGTTCTCAAGTGCTCCAACGGTAAGAAGCTCTAAAAAGTCGTCTAATCACTCGCGTAACTCAGACACAGTTATTTAGATAGCCAAGTGAAGCATAAATTAGTGTTCAGTTGGCTCTTGATCTGATAAGCGAGCCCAGAAACTGGCTTGCGAACTTCTCGTTTTCAGTCAAGGAGACATTATCAAGAGAACGACTTTCAGGCGGCTTGTGTTTGCCCTATTTTTCCGAAGCATTGAATTGCTTTTTTCAACTTTTGCACGTGCTGCAAAGACAATGTGCGGGTTATCTTCTTCAAAACAAAACTACATCCCATCCAAGATTTGGCAAAACAGTCAACATACTAATCTCATCCGATATAATAAGGCACTGGTTAGCGAGACGATCAGACAAGCTGAATTCCTCTGGGAAATGACAGGAGTGAAAGAACACGAGAGGTTGGAGCAGTTAAAGCTGAACCTATCGATGCACCTGAAGACTATCTGCGGCAACTGCAGGTCCGAAAGTCAAAAAATACTGCTATCTAAATCTCCAGTTACTGTGATATAGAGCACCCAGTGGTCCATTCATCTTTGTATTCACTATATCAAACAACTAGTTTAAAAAATTTCGCAAATGCAACTCCCAAACTGCTTATAAGAATACGATGGCTTGGTCATATTAGCCAAATAACTTATCCTGACTAGCAACTTAACGAATATCACACCTTCTGATTACAGTTCTCAAACACTGCTTTTACCATCCATGGGTATAATTCACAGCCCTATAATATAGATTAAAACTACATAGTGTAACAACAGAGATCACAAGGAAGTATTCGGCGTGCCGCACCATTCCAATGAATGCCGTGTGACTAAACCAGAACCGATCAGCACAATCCATTAGCTTGGTTTTCAAATGATGGTTGTCACTCCCGCAAAAGCAGCAAGGAATCCAGAATGTATGCGGTTTACAAGATTAACTGGGTTGCAGCAGCTGCCGGTGATGAACAGTTCGTCCAGACCGAATGTTGGACTCGGGAAGTTTTCTGTAAAGGTTCTGTCTTGAATCCACGTCGCTGGTGTCAAAATCTCCGTGTTACCCTTCCACGTGATCTAAAGAATTTGGTGGGCATAACGGTACTACATTTTTGGACAACGCCATCTGCCAACTTGATGCCTAGTCCATGTGTAACAATCAGGTGCGCGTACGAAAACCGACCATCCAGGTCATACATGCCGGAATTCGCAATTGAAAAAGTTTGTGCAACACGATGCCTGGTATTTCTTTCAAGCTGTCACGCACTTGCGGTGGAAGAATAACCAGTGCCTTAGGAATGTCTTCTAACTTTGTACAAACGTTGATCTCAGGAACAAAGTTGACGAAGTATTTCCCGGATATCTAAGGAATCGTGCGTCAGTTTTTCTCCTACTCATGAGTATTGTGGATGATTTCCACTCTCGATAGCTCCATAGAGACAGATGACATCTATCGGGAAATTTGACTAGTCGAGAGAAAATAGTTGCTATTCATCAGTTTCAAACAACGCTACCAAGGGATCTGACGAATTGTAAACCTGGGACTCTTGAATCTGAAAGCATTACTCATGGAAGCATGCGATTGCTAAACCTGAAAACAACTCACTACTTGTTTTGTACCAGCCGAGTTTTCAAGCGGGTGAAGCAGAGTCGCGTGTCTTCTACGTGGATTTCGTCATCTACTGATGAGCTAGTGAATGCAACTAAAGACACTCACTGGTGCGATGTGAATCACACAGTAACCTCATATCATATTCACCAGGGGCGCAGAAGTTGCACGCGTGTATGGCGGTGACATAAACGATGAAGACAGGTGACCAATCGTCCAGCATCAAGACAATGAATCTCAAACCAGATCGAACACTTACTGGATTATTCTTGGGGATTCACAACGTGCTATCTTCACTTCACATGCACTTTGATAGTCTCCTGCGCACTGTCAACACCGATGCTACGTGAATTTATATGTATAAATCACTTAACGCCAAAATTCTAACTATACACTATCACTGCGTCATCAACGGGATCTCGTATACTGCTTCTTCCACTGAAGAAATGGTTCCAGGCCTAAAGTCAGTGTCCGAGTAGCATTATTTTCGTTCATTTTGATTTTGCAGATCAAAATCACACCGCACCCACAGGTCTAAAAACTGTTTACAGGTTTGTATATTTGTATTAACCTGTCTTTCGGCTTCACAGTCATCATTCGATGCTATCTTTAAATTTAAAAACAAGTTCTGGTGGTAATTTGTGTCGGACGCGCGATGCTGCGCATAGGAAGACGAAAACTTCTTTACAGATCATTTCGTTTCCACCACTTTGGATTCACCAGTGGTGAAATAGACCATCATATATGGAAAACAGTGACTGGAGAACAGTCTGCTCGAAGGTATTACCACATTGAAGGTCTTGAATGAGAAAAAAAGATTTATTTGCGACAAGCACAGCTCTCCTTATGAACAAGAGTAATTAAAGGAAGTGATCGTCTATATAATTTTCAGATAGGTGTAAATGTTCACTTTCAATGGAAGTAGCAGGTATCCCTTTACCATTGCGCTACCCAATTCTAGTCTGACCTCAATTGAGTTACTCAAAAGTGGTGAAGTCAATAATACACACACACAAATAGCCAAAATAACACCCTAACGCTACAATCACTAGGGTGTTACAAAACTCAAGGTCGTTTGTGTTCATAGAACAGAATAACGTGTACTTGCATGCAACAATTGGAAAAAACTCCGAAAATCTGATTATTGTCCATGGATCGGTTAACCGTAACCACCTACTGTAGTAACACTTCGATTAAGTAGGTTCTGTCATGCCACTACCTTCATCACTCGTTCGTTGACGTTTGGTTAGGTCATCAAGCCTGGTGACCACGCTCGGAAACTCGATTAGCTTAGGCACTGACTTGATGACGCAGCAAAACTATTCACTTTGAGGAACAGAAAAATCAAAAGTTTCCGAAATGATTCTTCGGACATTTGGTGTCAGTTACTTCCAGTTCTGGGGCGCCTTTAGAGGCAGAACAACCGTACGGTGCAGCAACCTTATAAGAACAAAGCTAAATATTTTCCGATGCCATAAGTCGATGCCACACCTCTCATAACGGTTGATGCATACACGCCTTGCAAATATGTAAAGGCAAACGAAATGGCGCTACGGGAGGATGCAGTTGGTCAGAAGAAGTATCACGCAAGAACGGGCTGGTCAAAAGGTTTCCAAGAACACTGTTATACTTTGAAAATCTGTTCAAGTTGAGGCCACAGCACTGTTGACGATGGGTTCAGTTTAAGGGTGTGGTTAGCTTGAAGTTTTGGCAGCTACTGATTCAGGTAAATACGACTAAATAGTTTAGTTGAACTGTACAGCTGAGTTCCAATGAACCATTGGTCAACTCCTAATATACATTTTGTTCGGCAATTACAACGCGCCTCGAATAGTTCAGATGACTATCTGGAAGCATGTATGTTTTTTCACATTTAAGTGCGAATTGAGCCAGCTTTCCACTCTACATTTACAATGTTGACCGCTTGAAAAGCAGTATATACAAACGTCAGAAAAAGGGATATGAAAGGATGTTGTAAAAAACTGTGGATGGTAGCAAGGACAGCCTGTTAACTTACTCGTGCTTCCTGCAGGCTGTTCGTCTGTCTCGGTCGGTGAGCTGCAGTGAGCCGATGTGACGCTCGCATAGACTGCAAACGCCAGTACGCCCAAAGTGACCAGCAAAATCGGAACAATGAAAAATACGATTTTCGGAACCTTTCGCCAAAATCCAGTTGGAGTACTGAGAGGAAAGAAACGTACATGCCTTTCCTCTGAGCCTGTCTGCGCTTTCAGCGGGATGATCTCCGAGGAATCATCGGCTTCTTCAGGTGAACCGGATTGTTCCACTTCCGGACGTTGGTCATCGGAGAAGTTTTCGATTGTTTCTGCTTGTTTTATAATTGTGTTTGCCACTAACGGGTGTTCTACAGGTGTGTCCGAATCATTCAAATGTTCCGGCATTTCGTATCGGTTATCTCGGTGCCACTCAACTGACTATTCGTTTTTACCAACTGCCTGCTTGTCAAGAGAACCACCAACAAGCAATCTAGCTACGTGTTAAATAACCGATTTGTCACTTCTACTGTTCCAGGTCAGCTGAGTGTAATCGGCCTAGGGCTGGATTCATTCGAAACGCTAACGACCAGTGTATTCAGGTCAACAGTAATCCATGTGCTGATTGTGGCAATACATCGTCATTTCCTGACAGTGCCGATCTTAGTACATGATTCGTTGTGGTGCGACGTAGAAAAGACTGCTGTTGGATCATCGTTGTGAACAACTAGCTCTCTATGCATTTTGTGATGATGTTATCCTTCATCTACACGAATAAGCCTCGCTCACAAATACAGCTATTCTGATAAACTCCACAAACCATCAATGTTGAACCGGCTACTACAGAAAAACCGTCAGCTTCGCCTCCCGAAACCTCCACCATTCTGCTGTTCACATCTGATATGAAACACCGCGCAGTTTTATATTATATGAACGAGTATTCAACCACGCAAAAGACCGTGGAACCGCTACACCTATTGTCTGCTAGTTTGGGAATTCTTGTCAGATATGTGACCTTATGTGCGCGCGTGGAGTTTAAGGCCTAGATGGAAGGCTTAGTTAGGTCTTAAAACTCTGTAAACCCCAGAAATATCGCTGACAGTTCGTGCCGAGTGATGGCGTGAGTCTTATTTTAGGTCCATAACTATGAACTTACTCCACTAAGCTATTCTTGACTCTTTCACAGACGTGAAGCAACATCATTTTCTTGCCATTTTATTTTCAAGCCTTACCCAACAACTACTGTTATAGAGTATTTATTCGGTTCATTTGTGAATCTTGTTTAAAAGTTACATCAGCACTATTTTGTGCAAAGATTTGGATCTAAACTCTCTCTCTCTTGTGGGAATATTTGTAATTTAGCAGCTTTCATATTCAGTGCCTGAAGCAGGCAAGCTTAGGAAACTAGACTGAATGAGTACCAGGAGAATGCGTTCACCGTGGACCACCCGCTGAGCGAAAGGTTGCGAACGTCTGTTCTACGAAAAGAAACGGTATGTAAGGTAAACTGACCTGGAAAAAACGGTATTTGAAACGTCTGATATATTTGATATATCTCAGAAGAACATTCAGAGGACAAAACTTGTGAACTGTAGACACTTGAAACTACGTTAACCAGTCACAGGTGTAAATCATTCAACGTCTATACGCGGCAGACAAGTTCTATTTAATAACGAGTTACTTACATCAAACGACATATTGGTATGAGAAAAGGAATGGCTGATGTTTAGCTTTACGGTAGTCGAAAAACTTCAATCAATAGCGCCGTATTAAATTTTAGGTCGCCGTGCTCTCAACAGTGTCGCTTCGCAGAAAGCAAGCATTTCCAGACTTCCATCCAGGGTGTTTAGCTTACAGTCCTAGGTACTCCGGTAAACAATCAGATCTCGTGATCTGGATGTTGGAGTAGCTGAAAGTAAACTTATACACGTCAGGCAAGGCTTATTTTTGAGCGTGATCCTCCGAGTCATCCAGATAATGTTCATCTGAGCGCTTGTGACGCTAGTGACGTCGGTGACACGATTACTTTTGAACCGTCAACACACGACAGTCCCCTTCGTAAATGTCAATATCGGATTGGCTGGAATGTTTTGTTTTCCCTGTAAAACGGTGAACTTTTCTAGATAGAATTTGGTTAATAGGGTCCACGTGTCCATTTGGTAACTGGTCGGTAGTGGAAGAGAGTCTGGCCTTTTGAAACGGTATTTCGCCTAATCCTCGCTTATACACCACCGGAGACACACTGAGACATCAGACTTCATCGGTACCATCCGACTGTTCAGCGAGGTTGTACACATATAACCTTTCTTGCCGAGAAAGAAACGTTCTAATTTTAAACTTTTGTCAACTGTATGTCCACTCCATCCCGAATAGTAGCCTGAGGTTCCCGAAATTTTGAGTTTCAGATTTTCTTATTTATGACTTTCTTGTAGGTCGCAATTTGTACACACATATAACGCAGGTCCGGGTTTGAGTGGAATTAATATTTATTCGCTCTCCCTTTGAAAAGCCGCTAAGCGCTGCACCGCAGATTTGTTTATGAGATGAATAATAAGTAGGGTGCATGCCAATAATTTCCTGGGAAATTCGAATTCGCAACCTTTCGGTCTCTATCATTTAGGTAGGAGCGTGTTATCACATGAATTGTGTCTACCGTTCTCACGAAATCGAAAAATTTACCACAGATAATATTAGTCTTCTGCTTGGAACCGTTTCAAACCGAATCGCGTGACCTGTGCGATGGAAGAATAGTCGAAGGGTTTTCAGTAACGTTTGGAGTAGTTTCCTTTGTGAAAAAGTGCGCTATTTTATCCCTTCTAGATGCATTTCATTCACTCAACATATCATAAGGTGATGTGGATCCCTTGACTGAGGGTTGGGTGACTCCATATCCAGTCCAAGTTGCATTTAGTCACACTTCCAATCGACCGCTCGTGGCACAATAGTTGGTGAGTTCAAACTACTAACCGGAGGGGGTAATCGAGGTCAAATCCCTTGAAGATTCGTAGGACGGACAGAAGGATTCTCCTTTCCCAGTGATTCTCCTTTTCCCCAGAATAGAGCAACTCAACTTAGAGGACCAATGTTCAAACTACCTCATGCTGACAACATAATAGAGGCAAACCACCCGTGGCTGATTGGCGTATTTTACAAATGAAAAACGGAAAATTGAGTTTTCCTAAAGATTTAGGAGATGCAAAGTGCTGAAGACTTTGAAAGGGAAAAGACAGTTGCAAATGTATTTTAGTTTTCAGCATAATTTGGCTCTATTTAAAGGGCTGAGTCTCGATTGGAGAAAGTACAAGCCTACATTAGCTGATTTATGTCATTTGATTTGATTTATCTGTTAAAATGGGACACGCTGGTCCTCAGTCGTCCTGAACTCACTGTCATAGTTCATTACTGAACAAAATAGCGGTTTCTTTCTAACTGATATGTTGCAATCAGATATGGGTCTGAACCTCTCTATCTGTTTGATTTTGCGGCATTATGTTTTGCCAGTCAGTACATCGGATGCGAGTTAACAATTCCACCTTGAGTGGTGCTTGTTCGAACAAATTTTTGAACACCCCTTGATGACTTCGTAGTTAAATTTCTATGGCGCATTGAGCGGTGAATAGTTACGGTGTCAATGCACAACAGTAAAGGCTATAAGGAGTGTTGTGATGAATGGCTTCTTGGCAGATGCTCTTGAAGAGTCATTTTTTATTGGTCGGCAACAGTCCATACGGCACATCAAGTGCAACTAGTCCCTAAACGACTTTTGTCGACAATCAGAACAATTACAAGCGCTGATGAGCTTAAACATGGACAACATGTCAAAATATTGGTTAGTCAGATGCCTTTATCTGTTGTTGGTCAAGTCGCTGTTATTCTCTCCACCCAGCGTAGCAGTTAGCGTACATAAGTTTGGTCACCCTTCGAGGAGACATCGTCAGTCCGCGCACATTTGGACTACGCACGATAATCCGAACTAGCTACGGTGGAACAAACTAAAGAGGTCAGTATATTTGCTTGCTAATTTGTGCACCACCAGAACGTAGAAATGCCTATGTAAGATATTGTTCAACAGGGTAAGAAGCACCAATGCTCCTGATGAACTAAACGAGTGGAATTTCTCGAAACCATTCTCCTGCGGAATTGATATCCAAAGCGTTTTACCGAAATGCACAGCCATCAAATTATTAGGACTCGGTCATTAGCTGCTTCAAATCTTAAAATGGAACTAGCGGTCTCTCGGAGCGCAATTTCCAAACCTCGCAAACAAAAATGACTCAGTTCGATTTGTCCGAAGCTCATTACCCTCCAGGAACAGATATTTCAGCGGACCTTGTCATTTTCAATTCACCTGAAGTAGCATTGAAATTTTCGCAGAGGGAACATACCACCGTCTCTTGAAAAACATGACTAAAAGCAGGCCAAGATACCCAATGCACAAGATAAGGCGTAAATCACGTAGCCGTCAGTTTACAAACAAAAAGCCAGTATCAACTACTGAGAGACGTCCGCTGGCCATAGATTATTGCGTTGACACTAGGCAATCACCCATATTTCGGTTTCGAGGTGGACGTTGAAGAAGTTAGTGATTATAAATGTCCGCCCTGTTTGGAACTGAGCACGAAGCACTAGCAGTCTTCGTTTATTTTCCAGCATCTTATTGATGGTTAAATTCATAAATATACGCGTTTCCTGCATAGCTGTTGAAAGAAAAAAAGAAAGAAACTAATTGTGCATTATGAATGTTCCCATCAGAGGGCCATCGTATCGCTCCCCATCCTAAACGCAACAGAATGATTTTTAAGTAGCTTGATGCATCAAAATGCGTGGTTTACGTACGTGTAGCGAGATGGTTTGTAACTGATCTACAACCAACCGATTGCAAGAACTCTAACCTGCTGGAATGAGCAAAGATTCTTACTACATCACGAGGCCAAAGAATTATCCTGCTAAGAGGAAATTTCCCTTTGTAATCAACCTTATCACTCAGACGCTCACGGTACGAAAACTAATCCACGCTACAAATTCCTGCACGGGGTCTTTAGATATATAACATTTTGAAAGAACGTTCTGCGGAAGTAAGACAACTGCGATAAAAATCAAGATGTGGCACAAGGAAATCCTAAAATCAAGATTAGCAAGATGACGTAAAAAGGTTAGATGTGTGATTAGAGTATGTGACTAGAGTGTGTGGGTAGAGTTGTGGGGAGCATAGAAATTTGCAGTAAACAAGGACTAACATGCAAATGTGAAGAATGTACGGTTGGGAACGCAAAGAGTGAGAAAAGAAGGGAAGTGGAAAAGAGAGAGGGATGGATGTTCATATTACAGTGATCTGTTACAAGTCCAGGTTGAATTCCTGTCTCTAGGACAAATTGGACGGTGTTGGATCTGATAAACTGGTAAGTATCGTGCTGTATACTTTTGGCCCGAACAAACAATAAAGCTAAAGTTTGCGTTGAGAAGCACTGTACAACTGCCTTATAATCGTCGGGAATCTTTGGTAGTGCACATGCGAAGAGTTTCTGGAGAGATTTTACCCTCTTGTGAGCAGCTGAACACGAGACTGACAGGCCCGAATTAGGAAGGGAGGCGGTGCCATTCTTCTAGTGTCAGAGTTTATTTTGGATGTTCAGGTGTTGACTAGTGCCTACGTATTGCAGTACTCTAAACAAGTGTGTTGATGATGACGCATTAAGTGCTAAATTAACCAAGATATACCTTAGCTGCAGGCAGTGAGGGGATGCGGTACCCAGAGTTACCGGTTGCGCTGTTCTCTCGTGGGTAATACACAAAAATTGGGTCTGAACTCTCAAGCGTGTCCTTGCTAAACCTAGTCTATCATTGAGGTACTGATGCGCTTCCTTTATACTGACATCAGAGAAGTCGAGACGGCCACTCTACGTACTGTGTAAAAGGTGGCTTGACAATTCTGTTAAGCACACTCCATCTAGCTAACAAACGAGCGTTTTCGTGTCTCCTTTATCTAACTGACTGTCCTACAATTGTTCAGAAGCTCATTGTTCGTACTGTGATGTTCTCATTGGATTCGGTCGGAGAAAAGTTAGCTGAAGAGCCCGAAGCGTACGCTTTCTGAAAGTGTACGTTCATACATTCATACATTCATAGTTCCTTAATGGTATTCTTAGTTTTCTACCTTGCGGTTAGCATACAATGACGTTAGGTGTAGGGCGCAAGTTGGCTAAAAACACGTATCGATTGTGTCGAACCGTCCGTGTACTTTTAGCACCTTTTACACGTAAAGTTAGTGCGGTACCAAAGCGGGCCTTATCTCCAGTCACGTTTCATGCCAAGGTGCCCTCGTACTTATAGTAGACTTCGCACTTCAGGATATGTTTGGTTATTTTAGCTAAAAAGTTGCTTTTCAGAGGCGGAAGTACCAGCACAAGTGGCTAGGATTTTGACTACCGACAGTGGTTTCCAGATCCTGTGTAATGTTGAGAATGTGAAGTAACTCGGACTTCGACAACTGGGTTTGGTCTCTCCATGGTGCATTACCATGCTAATTCGATGGTCACCTTCGAACCAAAATCATCTTGAAGATATCAGTCGACAAGTGGTGAGTCATCTGTTTTGATGGCTATTACGTCGTCCTCCCAACATTCTGCGATCGCCTAAACTTTTGATCACATACTACTACTTTTTTCTAAGTAGCCGGAAGTCTGTGCACAATCTGAGTCAATGCCCTCAGTGCACTGCTTTGCCCCCGTTGAACCACTTACTCACTTCCTTTTGATACCTGGGATACTTCTTCAAAACTTGCTAGTCTTCCTGAGGTCCAAATGACGTCAGCGTAGTCCCCCTATTTGGCGATAATCACTGGATAGCAAGGAAGTTCTGATGGCTTGTTTCAGCGTTTGCTCACGAGAAATAATGTATGGATAGATTTGTCTCCAGAAACTTCATGGGAATGTACCGATGTGCACAGAAAAAACACGCTCTTAAATTTTTCCATCAAACTCCCGGAAGACTCTACGAGCTAAAAGTCTCAGTCTTAATCTTGTGATCAGGTAGGCGTTTGGCTTTCATATAAACATAGGGCGATCATAGATATGATGACTGACAACTCATGCTGGTTTAGTCCGTGGTAGACCCACCATACAGTTAGGAGCACATGATGTACCAGTCGCAGTATACTAAGAAATATGTACCCGACAGTAAGCCTTAGACTGTTTTGTTTATGAGAAGATTTCCTGAAGAAGAGCTGGAAGGAACACCCGACAAGAGGCCGGGGGTGAAAAATAAGGTTTGAGAGATGTTACGTGGCTGGTAGTTGAGAAAACTGTACTCATACGAACAGAAGTCGCCGTGGTGTCCGGGATAGAAGTGGGCAGCGACTGGGTAATCCAAACCGGACTGCCACGTCGCTATCTGTCACAAGTGAAGCCTGTGTGTGTGTGGTGTGGGTTACTTCTCTCGTAATTAAAGTGTGGTCTTGGAGACGGTGAGGTTGAAATAAAACTATTGGAAGAGTAATACATATTCAGTGCATCCCGTTTTGTAAGTGCGATGTTAACACGGACACCATCCAAAGATTTGAAGTGAACCTAACGAATCTGGAATCATTGATATTGCACCTTCACAGCGGCTAGCCTGAATAAAATTGTATTTGAAAGGATAGACGTGTTGCCGAAAGAACGGCGTCGGCAACTCCTACATTGAGCAACACGACGATGCTGAGCAAGATTAGACTGAGCTATCAGTTTACCGTAACGATCGATCTAAACCTCACTAACTAGCTTAAGTTTATCCTATAGCTACCACGTAGGTTGTCAAACGTTTGCGCTGTCCGTTCGGCGCCCACACCACGTGCATATTGCTCAGTTGAACGCAAAGGATAAGGTTTCCAGAACCATGATGATCGGTTCAACTGCAGCTGAGACATAGTTTTGCTACTTTTGGCTGATCGATCGGGACCTTGTAATTGACTATAAGACTGTGATTCAGACCAGCTTGGTGTTTGGTTTTAATCAAGTGGGCCAGCTTCACAGGGTAGCAGACGGAACTGTCTGTTGCAGGGCGCTTTAAATAACGATGAACCTGTCCACTTAATGACAAACTAGTACGCTGTTACAAATATCACGGCGCTGCAGGTCGTGAGCACTTCGAAGTTCCGAAGAATGTGACATCATCTTCACAACGCAGCCAGACGAAAGAACTGGCACAGACGCAATAAATATCTGGTGACAGAATAGGAACTCAACATTTCGTTATTCCTACATCAACACATTCCACATTCATGATTTACAACTGATTGGAACCGCTGGATGGGGGCAAAAAACACGGCGAAAACATAACAGCATTCAACCCCCCATATCCTTGTGCCCACAAAAGGCACGCAACTCAGTTTGCTTTTGTCCAGCACGAAGTTGCATGCAAACTGAAAATCCGTCTATAGAAACAACTTACTCGTAAATCTCACTGGCACACTGTAGAATGAGTAAATACAGTATTTCCCAAATTCTTTATGCAAGCTCATGCTTCCCCGCTCTTTTGAACTTCAGTACTCTGTGTACCCGTCCACATACGTTTAAATCAGGCTAGACGTAAACGATATTTCCCACACTTGGTCATCCAGAATAGATTGAAAAACCGCAAAAATAGTTCCATTAAAGTTTGAGAATTCTGAAACCGGTTCGCGAGAGTACGAGGGATGGAAGTTGAAATAAACAAGAAAGTACAGCTCATAAAGAGGAAGGACAATTTAGTTGTGCTCCTATGAACGGAAACTGTTAGAAAGGCAGTGAAAGCGCACGGGGAGTCATGAATTGATCCAGCACCCCATCTGTAACTTCCGCACGGCGTTTCTGATGTTCCTTCACAAAGCCCGTCAGGAGGTTGATGAGTATCTTCTTCAGTTCACCTGTAAGCAGCTTTCCACTAGTGTATTCCTAAAAAGAACACAAACGTTGATGTAATTGACAAACACCTGAATGAAATTGACGAAAGTGCTTGTCACAACAGGAGCGTAGCGATGATTCTTTCAATAACTAATCGCTTTCGATAAAAATGAGGAGCAGTTAATCAGTTCAAGGTAGCAAAATGTGCAATTACTTGTGTATTCCATTACAAGGCCTCTAAAAGGAGAGACGAAACATATGAAGACGAACAAATTTCTTGGTTGGAGCGTGCACGCTCCGTTGTAAGACCACCCTTGAGGCGTTGTCACCCAGTAACTAGTCGAGTGAGTGGTGTGGAAATCAATGCGCTAGAGACTGACCACTCGCTAAATAAGATCATGTGGAATGGATTAAGTTTAAAATAACTGTTTTCTCGCCTTTTGCACCGTGTCTTGTATCCAGACACCCGAGTCTGCGTATAGTTTCCCTATAAAGCTCTTTGGTTCTCATCTGTCTACTGTCTACATCAACTTCACTCGTGAAGGGTGATTCGATACACCTCTGACACCCAGGTACCTTGAAGAGATTCCATAAGCCCTTAAAGTAAACACGAAAAGTTCGAAGTATCGTTCACTTTAAACGATTATCCCATGTTCGAGCATTCGTGAACACATTCAAGAAGAACGGTATGTCAATCCACTTGAATAAACAGAGACAAGGAGGCAACAACCGACTAGGGCTTCCTCAGACTAACAAGTAAAATATATAAAAAATAAGCGATAGGAAAGTGACAGCCCAAATTGACATCACGGAAACCAACCTGTCGAATTCTTTCCAGTTCTGCATCGTCTTCGAGGAAAAACCGCAAATACTGATAGGATACATCGACATCACAATTCCCTCCGTTCGCTCGATGCGCTTCGATCGTATCTCCACCACCGGAGAAAGCATATTTATTTATCTACAATTTTAAAAAAATGTCCATGAGGGCAGAAGAAGATATGCAAGTGCAGTAGAAAAGCAATAGGATAGCTAGTGACAACGCAGATTACACAGGTGACATGCTGTAATATTGTTCGCCGCTGTAATATTGTTCGCCGTAATATCCTGACGCTGCCCGGAAAAAGCACAAGGGCTAAGACGCTGCCGAGTTTCCCAAGCCCAGACAGGAGCAGTCGAGAAGCCCGGGTTGTACTTTTAGGATGAAGCATCCACAGCTCCAGCTTTCTGGTCACAAGCAGAAGATAGTGGGATAAATATGAAAGAGAGCACGATTGAGACTCACAAGTTGGTAACATAGCTCAGTTACGTTAAAGACGGCGGTACGATCAATAGGGTCTACTAAATGTCTTATTATAAACCTATTGTGGTGTTCTGGAAGGAATGGTACATACGTTCGTCATTGCTTGTCCGCTTACATTTCGCTAAACATGTCCCAAATTGCAAGGTCAAAAGTGTGGGTTAAGAGCGAAGAGGAGGAGTACCGGGAAGCTTAGATATAACTCAGCAGCCCCAGTAAAGAATTTGTCAGCTGTATTATCCATAAGCACTGAGTTGGGACTTCATCCTGATCAGTCTCGCCGTTTCGCTTGGTGGCACGAGACGCCACCAAATCCTGCAGTAGAATTATTAGGACTATTTAGTCTTGTTCGGACTTCCGCACAGCCTGTTTACTCAATTTCAATAAAGGAATGGAGGGTAGCAGATTTGCATCACATTACTAAATCTGGAGACTTGCTACACACCTTCGGTCGATCACGAGAGTCAGTGTTTGGAGAGCTGAAGATGTCAATTGGAACACGACTGCTCGACAAAACTGTCGTGGTGTTCAACTTTTAAAAGAGACCAGAGCAGTTGCCAAATCAAGAAAGATGATCGTTTTGACAGTTGACAGTAGTGCCGCTTCTTGAAAATCCAGTTGAAGTAGAAAATGCAAAACTGATTTTGACATCGCTGTCTCTAGATGTTCAACCAGCCTAACTGCGCACCCACTTACCCTACTTAACGCTACCACGCATTGCCCGTGTAAAATTCAGAATATCGTAACAAGCATGTCGCATAAGTTGCGAATGTACCCACACGAATATGGGAAAAATTGGTCCGCGACCGTCGCACACACGTTCGCTTTTGTTACAGCTGTGCATCAAAATTCCCAAATCATCCCTCTTATTGTTGTCGTAAGTCCGTAGCAGCACCAACGCGGACTGTTCGCAAAACCCATGTGAATATTTCGGTTATCGAAACCATTACAGCAATCATGTAAACATCTAACGACAGACGTCCGTAGGGCCCCGGTTAAGTCAAGAACTTTTGCTTAATGAGATTGGCATTATAGGAAAGGCCGAGATTTGGCATTCTTGACGTCAAGGCTCAGCTCGGCTGACTGAAACTGGCATAGAACATGAGCAATAGTATACGCACAAATCTTGTCCGACACAGTGCTTGGGCTGATGAATGCATACACCAACGAGTTCCGAGGTTACCAGAGTTGTTCTGATCGTCTCCGGTGACTACACCCGCGCAAACCTGGCTCGATATTTCCTTGCTAAAAACAAGTTTCTGGGAAGCTCAAGCTCCCTTCTACGAAGAGCGCCTAACCGAATCTTTCTGGCTGCACTAAACACTAGAAATATGAACATTGGTCTAGGTGAGTTTGCCGGGCACTCATCCTTTTTTCATTCCCTCTTCTTTTAACGAAGCTGAATTGACGCGAAAAGTAAACAGCGTCTTACCTTAGTTTTAATCTGCTTTGGAGTATCCGTCAGGTAAATCGAAGTATTCGGGTTGCTTGCACTCATTTTGGTTTGGTTCCCTTGCAGCGCCGGAAAGAAAACTGAGTAAAGCATACTCGGTTTGGGCAGTCCCAGGCGTGGTGCAACGTCCCGAGTCATGCGGAAGTAGGGATCCTGATCAATAGCGCAAGGGATGAGACAGCCGATTTCAGCTTGGTTTGCAACGGAGCCAAAAATGGACGGGAACGATCTCGCAAAGCTGGGGGCAGCCTGGATAGCAGGGAAAGCAATCTTTCCGATGCAGTCACTCTCGTTGAACCCGAAAATACCGCGGACTTGGTTGAAGGTGACAAGTCGCTGAATCTGACAAACAGTCCGATAAAACTCTGGACACTGGCTAAAAACGAGGTGCAAGAAGAGTTGAAGGTTTATTATACTAGAAATAGAAACAAGTTGATTAGGTGTTACAGAGTGGAGGGGGTGTAAAATAAGTGCTAACAAGTTTGAAATAGTCACACCGAAAGCGAGCCGTAATAATATTCGAACTCAGAAAATTATAGGTACACATTTGGAAATACTCGAAACTTTAGAAAATCAAACTAGTACTCTCAAGGAGATGATGCGGACCAAACAGCATTATCTAACGCACATCACTACTGTTGTTGCCACAGTGTGGACAAGCACAAATGAGCACACCAAAATTGCAGTTTGACAGTCGGTTGCTAGCCGGTTAGTGATCAGCTCAATTCATTAGACTATCCTAACGTGGATGAACATACCTCACCAAGAGAAACCAGTTTGATACTGGAGTCTGAATGATATGGCGACTCAAACTTTTATGTAGCACTACCGGATTCACCTACGCTAGGCATGACAGAGCAGGGGGCGCTGCCGATGGAGCGATTTAGCACTGATTACAGTTCGTTGTCTGGGCGAGGTCAGCCTAGTGAAACCAGAACAAAAAATTCTCATCACAAACGTCAGGAAAATCAACCCATAAGTAGTAAATACCGGTGCGTAGACGCCATGCAATTATAGAAAAAAAGCCCAACAAAAGAGTGAAAAGAAAGAGGTGGTGTGGGAGCTTGTTCCATAAATATTTTGGCCCTACAAGACACGGTCAAGAGCAAGGCGCTCACACCGTACAGCAACACTGATGTGAATACGTTTGAGCATCGTACCGCAGTAAGTTAGCGGTGTTATATATTGACGTTGTGTTTAACTTTTTACTCGCTACTCGTTGAGCCAATCGTTCGGCAATCCTCGTTCTCTGTTTCTGGCACAATCATTCGAGTGCGCAACAATTTAATCTTCTATCAAAACACAATGGAACGATTGTTTCGCCCAGATCGGTTTGACGCCGATCCCCAATCCTCTTCTGCTTCAGAACAATGGATCCATTGGCACGAAACGTTTACGAACTTCCTCTCATGCATCGAACTCCCAAACGTTGACAAAAGAAAACTTTTGGTAAATTTCCTTTCTCCGTCCGTCTATCAACATGTTTGTGATTGTACTACTTACGAAGACGCCATCCAGACGCTCGAAAAGATGTACATTAAACCCAAAAATGAAGTGTTTTCCCGCCACGTGCTGGCTACTACCAAACAAGAACCGGGCCAATTAGTCGACGCGTTCCTGCAAAAATTACGTTACCTTGCCAAGGACTGCAATTTTCGTGCGGTTTCTGCCGATGAACATCGGGATGAGGCTATTCGAGACGCTTTTATCACAGGCTTGCAGTCTAATTCCGTTCGCCAACGACTACTAGAAAAACACACTCTTAAGCTTCAACAAGCTTTTGACGAGGCACGTCTGCTTGAACATGCTCAACAACAGTCACTCTCATACGACTCGTCTTCTCATGTTCCCTGTGGCGCCGCATCTATCAAAACTGATAAGCCTCTTACTCCTGTTCGTGATGCTTTTATCTCTCAGATGGAATCTAGTGACACGATTGCAAGCACATCCTTATCTTGCTTCTTCTGTGGCAACGGTAAGCACATTCGTTCAAAATGCCCGGCTCGTGAGTCTTTCTGTCATTCTTGCGGCAAGAAAGGTCATTTCCAAAAAGTTTGTCGATCCAAACTGGGTTCAAGCCGTATCACATCGACGGTGAACCCTGGTGTCTCATCCATTTTCAACATCTCTTCATCCATGGGACTTTCCAAATCAATCGTTGATGTTATAGTGAATAATATCCCACTTCACGCACTTATCGATACTGGTAGTTGCGAAAGTTATATTTCTTCTGACATCGCACTAAAGCATGGTTGGACAATAACATCCTCTAAGAGCGCTATCTCGATGGCTTCAACGAACTTATCGTGTGTTACTAGCGGTCATCTTTATGCTACCGTTCTGTACAAAAGCACACTATACGAAAGTGTCAAACTCTCGCTCTTATCCAATTTGTGTTCAGACGTCATCCTTGGCTTGGATTTCCTCAGTCAACACCAAAGTGTCATCATACCATTCACGGGTAAGCGGCCCCCATTCGCCATATGCACATTGAAAGCAGCGAGAGTTAACGCCCCCTCTTTGTTTGATAATCTCGCCCCTGGATGTACTCCAATTGCCACTAAATCTCGTCGTTTCTCTCGCACGGATACGGTATTTATCGAGACGGAGGTTCGGAAGTTACTAGCTGACAAAATTATTGAGCCGTCTAACTCTCCTTGGCGCGCTCAGGTTCTCGTTACTACGAATGACAGGCATAAGAAGCGCATGGTCATCGATTACAGTCAAACCATAAATCGCTTCACTTACCTTGATGCGTATCCTCTGCCGAAGGTGGACGAACTTGTAGAGAAGGTTTCCCATTACACGGTGTTTAGCACACTAGACCTTCAAAGTGCGTACCACCAGATCCCCATTCTCGACAAAGACAAGCCATATACTGCATTCGAGGCATGTGGTAAACTCTTTCAATTTCGCCGCATTCCGTTCGGAGTTACTAATGGTGTGGCCTGCTTTCAACGCACCATAGACAACATCATACGCGAGGAAAATCTGCTCGATACATTCGCATATGTTGACAATGTTACCGTGTGTGGTCGCGATGCCCAGGAACATGATCGAAATTTGAAGAAATTCTTAGAGGCCTCAAAACGTCACGGTATTACATTTAACCAGAAAAAGAGCATCATAGCTACTGCGAAAGTACTATTACTGGGATACGAAATATCTCATGGTATGATAAAACCGGATCCTGAACGTTTTCGAGCCCTACGGGAGTTGCCTCATCCATGTGACATCCGTTCACAACGAAGATTGGTCGGAATGCTGGCATACTACGCACACTGGATCCCATGTTTCTCAGATAAGATTCATCAAATCGTCCGCAATCAGATCTTCCCGATTCCAGATAGCGTACAAGCGGCACTGAATAAGCTCAAACACGATTTGGAAAAGGCAGCCGTTTTCACCATAGACTACACTCGTCCACTCGTTGTGGAAACTGATGCTTCCGACATAGCCATTGCGGCCACTCTCAATCAAGACGGGCGCCCGGTAGCTTTCTTTTCACGCACTCTGTCACACAGTGAGCGGCATCATTCAGCAATCGAAAAAGAAGCGTACGCGATTGTTGAAGCTCTGAGAAAGTGGAGACACTACCTGATCGGCAATCACTTCACACTTGTCACGGACCAACGATCAGTCGCCTTTATGTACGACAAACAACACAAAGGCAAAGTAAAAAACGACAAAATCCAGAGATGGAGACTTGAACTGTCCTGTTTTCATTACGATGTCCAGTACCGTCCAGGTAATCAGAATAAAGCCGCTGACGCACTATCGCGGACTGATTACGTATCTGCGATGTCACAGGTGGATCTCAAACATCTTCATAATACATTATGTCACCCCGGTATCACGCGGATGCTTCATTTCGTTCGCTCAAAAAATTTGCCGTTTTCGACCGATGATGTTAAGGCGATTACAAATCAGTGTAGTATTTGTTCGGAATTGAAGCCTCGTTTCCTCAATCACCCTTTTGGCAATCTTATTAAAGCTACACAGCCGTTTGAACGCGTCAGCATAGATTTTAAAGGCCCACTTCCATCGACCTCCCACAACAAATACCTTCTAACAATGATCGACGAGTACTCTCGTTTCCCATTCGCCTTCGCGTGTACGGATGTGTCCTCATCCACCGTGATCAAGTGTTTTAATCAGTTGTTCTCTTTGTTCGGAATGCCCTCATACGTCCATTCTGATCGTGGTGGAGCTTTCATGTCAGGTGAAGTACAAACGTTTCTTCACGACAGGGGTGTAGCAACCAGTCGAACTACCCCATACAATCCGCGCGGTAACGGACAAGTCGAACTGCTTAATGGTACTTCTTGGAAGTCCATCACTTTGGCGTTGAAGACCCAACAACGGGACATTACCGAGTGGGAATGTGTGCTTCTAGATGCTTTGCACTCTGTTCGCTCCTTATTGTGCACCACTACTAACACGACACCACATGAAAGATTCCTTAACTTCCACCGGAAGTCAACGTACGGCACCTCTCTTCCGACTTGGTTATCGACTCCAGGCCCCGTTCTGTTAAAAAGGATGACACGTTCTTCCAAATACGATCCGTTAGTGGAAGAGGTGGAACTTGTTAATTGTAACCCGCAGTATGCCTGCGTTCGTTTCCCGAACGGAAAGGAAGAAACTGTTTCTCTTAGACATCTGGCACCCAAAGCACAGACAATATCAGATGTCTATTTATCTGAATCAATCGAAAGTGCAGCGGCTCCTCCAGACGAGACTCAATCACACTCGCTTGATCCTCCTGGAGGCGAAACGGCACCACCAGAACAACCCAGTGAGGTTCCAGGGAATGTCCTACAGTACATCACAGACCAACAGCGTGTTCGACCGCATAATCTTCGAAACCGCGAAGCCTAATTTATATTCTCCTGACAATAATCCCTCCGGCGGGGAAGAATGTTATATCGTTGTGTTGTGTTTAACTTTTTACTCGCTACTCGTTGAGCCAATCATTCGGCAATCCTCGTTCTCTGTTTCTGGCACAATCATTCGAGTGCGCAACAAGCGGTATCGGCTCTATTCTTACAAGCTCCCTTAGTGTAGGCCCGGTGCACAAAGATGGACGAAATTTTGGCCAGGCAGTCTGGTCAGGGATTGACAAGCTGCTAGGGTTCAGTGTGCGCCAATTCCTAAAATATTCACGAATAAAGGGTGGATTTCAGTCAGAGGAATGCTAGATAAAATGGTAATCCACTTAATAGTAGCCGTTTTCACCTCGCTTTGTCATTCCGTAGCCTATCCTCCACCAACCTTTCGCCAGAACGCGTTTGGAATGGTGAAATGTTTATTTCGGTAAACAGTGGTTGGGAAAGCTTGATAGATGCTCAATTACTTCTACGTGCCAAGCATTACTTGCACCTACTGCAATCCCGACTTATTAGCAAGTTTAAGCAGACGTGCTGCAATGCTACAATGCTACAAAGGGTCGACCTATAAGACGACCGAAGGCGTTTGATATCCCCAAAATCGTGAAGATTGACTAATCTCACCATTGTTTTGTGGACAGGATGATTCAGATTCAGTGAAATCCGGTTCCTGTCGTATCTGGTCAGATGAGCAATAAATCTAAGGCGTGTTCAAATCACATTGGTTACGTTCAGAGAGTTCAAGTGGCGAAAACAAACCATGGTAACATATGAACGAGCCAAATGAGTTGTCGAGTTTGCGCTGGGTTTATTAACAGAAATGTTGGGACAGGAAGAAAATCTTTCCGGGAAGAGAAGTTCTCCATAAAGAACCACCATACGATACTAATTAGATGGCTGATGAAAGCTTGTCGATGGTCTGGCTTCATCCTTTGAGGTCTCATCACGTATCGAGCGAAGTGAGATCTCAGTTACCCTCTGCACTGTGTGATTGGAACGGTATTACGAAAGAGAGTGAGTATCAGTTTTTTCGGGACAAAGTTCAATCCTTTCCACAATCTTGCACATAAATCGACATTCTTTTCTGGCAAACTGAGACAATAGTGATACTCACGGGTAAGTCTCATTTCCCTTCCAAACATTACAAACGACTGCGTTTTATACTACACCATTACAGCATAATATGCTCCTAGTGTTTGAAGAAGAACACCATTTTTAAAGTAGCGTCCTCGAGATTACAATGCAAACCTAGGGAGCGATTCCCTGAGATTTCAATGCGGCGTTTCACTTCTCTAGATAAAAATGACACAAATCAACCGCAGATGGATCATTTTGGACCTAGAAGCCCTGCACATCGTCACCTAAATTTTCCTCTAAAACAATAGTCTTCTCGACTTCCCCTGTCTAGGCTTGAGCAACCTGGCAGTATCCCCTCCCTCATGCTTCCTTCGGGTAGCATGGCAGCCAGGCCCCAGAAGGGCGTCACAGCTGGACGACGACGACACGGACCGGTGCCTCTGCATCCTTACGGACGACCTCAAACGTTTCAGTCGTTTCTTTCTTAATCCCAACGACTTGCTGTTCAGCGTGGATTTCAACCGTACAGGCATCTTCGTCATAATTGCCCCTTCCTGGGCTTATCTAATCACAGCATTTTGTGCACCTCTTCAAAAGTGTACTCCAACACAAACTACAGATCCTTTACATGAAAATCCCCACGGATTCCAGATCAACGGAAATGTTCAAAAAAAGATACTGACCGACTGAGAGATAAACTTTCGGTTACAGAGTCTTTTGGTTTTTACCACTACAGTCCTCAAACATATTTAGATGTAACCACACGAAGGCAGCTAATTTTCATCCGCGGAAGACCCACCTCCTTGATTTCATTCATTTATTTTGTTCTGTAGCGCATCTTCATTTACGAAACTTGACAGTGTCTGAAGATGAAGAGTGTTCCGTTCTTAAATTTTGTTTTATGAAGGTTCTATATGTCCCCTCCCGTGGAGGCGTACGTGCCCACAGTAAATTTTCTCCTGAGTATATCAGACCGTGGTGCAAGGCAAGGGTGCTAATAGTTGCCTTTTCTCTTCAACCTCGTAATCGATGTGATGCTTGAGTCTTTGTAACCAGAATCCAACACCTGGGGGATCGAAATACTCACGGGACTTTCGCTGAGTACGCCAGCGATATCGCCCCTTATGGATCAAACTCCTCGGAAATGTTAACTATTCTAAACGAGCTTCAGATAGCCCCACGGTTGAGACACCAGTGTATGGACCGGATGGTCCGTGGTTCGAAACCAATGTCAGCGAGATGGCCGAAGTGGTTAGAGTGTGAATTTCCTGACTGGAAGGTCCGTGGTTCGAACCTGACCCTTCCCTCTCGACTTCCCCTGTCTAGGTTTGGACAACGTGACAGTATCCCGGCCCTCGTGTTTCCTTCAGGTAGTATGGCAGCTAGGCACCCGAAGGGTGCTACAGCTGAACGATTTTTTTAAGCTAAAGGGTTCCTGGTTGAATGATTGCCCGCTGATAATCTTCTCTATGCGGTTCGTTTGGCAACATCTGTGAAAGTACCCTGTAAATGTGTCGATAATCCCTATCTATTCATCTATCTACGCCCCAGTAGACAGTAGCTCTGGTACACTCAAAGACAGTTTTTAAGCTTTGAATGCATCGTTTAAGCGGGCTAAGAGCTCAGACATTGGTGTGGCTGCCTAGGATATGAATGTACAAGCAGGTGGAATTGGCGCTTCTGAGGCTCAATAGCTCTAGGATTGGAATCGAGACGAACGGAAAAAGGCAAAAGTTTTCTGATATTAATCTCTACTGGAAGGTACTATCCACAACCCTGCAACGCGCCGGGTGCTTCATTTGTGAAATGGCGCAAAACCAACTAGATCTATGAACGGGATATCGAAGAACACTAATAAACAATAGCTGCCTAGCTGTCGTGCCACCCGAAGGAAGCACAATGGTTGATATTGTCACGTCACCCAGGCCTAGACAGTGACAGTGGAGATGTCAGGTTGGGTTCGAACCACGGAGCTTCCGGTCAGTAAGTTTGCACCACAACCACTGAACTATCGCGAGCAACACCCTAAAATTGCTTGAAGCTCGAACACAATGCTTCTGGTCGAGAATACAATATCCCTCGAGGAACTGTCAGACTTCAGGTGAAAAAACCACCTACGCAGGTCGAGAAGCTTGGTGGATGCAGAAAGCTGAGGATAGCGCGGGTGAATGTCCGTGAATGTGCAATGACTATGCCAGGTGACATATGCAACGAGCCCGAAGAAGCCCCCAATGGGCGAAACAATCACTGATAACAATGGACCACTTACTTATGAGGAGGAGGGCCTAAATCGTTGGACTGACCACTTTCCAGGCCAGTTCAACTGACTACCTGCAATTGTTCAGCCAAATTCCCAATCAGCGATGCAGCCCTGGAAAGTGGACTTGGAGCCCCTGAAGGCTTCGGAAATGAGCGAATGCGTTTTGTCCCTCAAGCGTCACTGAGCTACTAGTCTTAACGAACTCACACACGCTCTGTTCAAAGATAGAGATGAAATCCGCAGTCAGAGCTTGTCTAGTTTATTTGTCTCCATCTGGGAGAAAAAGACCGTCCCAATTAATTTGAATGAGTCAACAGTAGCGCCAGTTTTAAAAAAGGTGCTCGCAGGGAGCATGGCATCTACAGCGGAAATAGCCTGACCCCCGTTTCAACTAGGGTCTTTACGTCGTCCTAAGGAGGCGCGTGGAGAGGGGATCTGAGAACTGCGGGCATAATTCGAGTCTGGAAGGGTTTGTGTGGACCATACCTCCATATCTGTCAAGTGTTAGAGGAACGGCATGCCCTCGCCAGATCTTGCAAATACAGGATCTACAAGAAAAGTTACCGTTTCCTGGTTAGTGGATACAGATCACAGGATAGATGTTGGTGAAGTCCCCGATGTGTTCTGAAAAATGCTACCCGATCCCCCTATGGCTGTACATGCAGCCACTATCCCCGGATATGGCTGGGCTTGTGCTGGATCCCTTCGGTCAAGTTGGCCCTGAATTCGGAAAACAATACCTGTCTGATCAGGCTGCATATCAGACGTGACAAGCCAGCAGCAGACTAGACTAGACTGTATAACTATACAGTTGAGTGGGACTAAGAAGCCCCCATGTTTTCAGTGCATGTTTTGAAATTTATATCCGCACATGATTATCGACAGATAAATATTAGCCTCCAAACCACTGGTTAAGAATTAGGCCACAGGTATTTTCAGAACATTGATTCCATGAATATAAAAGGATGAAAACGGCACGGAAGATATCCTGACTAGCTGTCGTATTTCTTAACACTCACACTATCGTCACTGAGGAGGGATAGGAGGAAGCGTCATAAGCGAAATATAACAACCCATTTAAATGAGCCAACCGTAAAGAAAAGCATGCTGTTTGAAACTGTGGATAACACCCACCCCATATATTGGAAGTCGCTGAAAATGAAAGTTTTCTTCGGGTCGAACCCAAGGGCGATAATGTCTTTGGCATTTTCCCGGGCCAAATTGAGGGCCGATTCAACAGTAAGGTCCTTCCACAGAAATTTTTCATCATCTGTCAGCTGGATTACGAGCGGAACGTTACAAACATCCTGTATCCATCTTCAGGTAAAGACTGAAATACCAAAGATCTTACTTGGTGAATAGAAAGGGGATAACGTGGCCTAAATGTAAAGCTTCGGAAGATGGACCTCGGCCAGTGTACAGGAAAAACGGTTTCTTTTGTTCCATCTTACCCACAATGAAATCCAGATCCCTGAGACCGTCAGAAGAGAATAAGCATTACCTGTGTGAAAAGAAGATATCCCTCCGCAACAAGTGATGCAGTGGTTTGTGGCATGCATGTTCAAACCGCTGTAGTAATTCTCGTGAAATCTTGGAGCATCCAAATCGGACAATCAGCTTATCATAATCCACACCCTTGTCCGAAGTAGTGGCAACCTCCCATGGGGTGACGACGTCCTCCTGAATACCATTGAGGCACGAAGAGAGCTCTTGAAATGAGAGTGGATCGGTCATTTAAGAATCCGCAGTGCTTGTTTGACGGAGCACGTTCACCATAAAAATAGGCTAAAACAACGGAAGAATCATGTAAGAGGATGCGATTTATCTAGATAAGTATAGAGGTGCACAGTTTATTAACGCAGATTATGACAAGTACACCGTGTCGTCACAGTGCAAAGAGACCCCTTGACCGCCTCCCATTGAACTTGGACTGAGAAACATTAGTTTTCGAATCCAAGAGTATTGGAGGGAGATAACTCGGCATGCATGAAACACGGCCAAGCAACAAAGATTTCGTGATACTGAAAGCAATCTTAAAGTGGAATATCTGCTCCCCCTTTGGCAATCACACAATTTCAATAGCACCGATGATGGGTGTGAGGCATCAATCATCAGAGAACACGAGAGGCTTCGAAACACTTATAGATGACATGTTTCGCAAAGGTATGACAGCAGTTTGAATTCTAACAATAACTTTCAAACAACACAGCATCCGAATATGGAGTGCATGAGATGAGGCAGATGTGTATGCTTCCGTGCGCGTCCCCAATTGGAAAAGATTCTCTAGCAGGGTGAGCCGGGCAGCTAGTAGTAAATTATCAACAGTGGACAGAGGACAACAGTGCTCCTAAGCAATGTTGAGTTCAGTCAGTCTGCTTCATAAAAAGCTCAACTGTAACTGTGCCCTAATGAAGCTGTTACGTGGGGCGTGTATGGCTGGCGAAAGAAAATGCACAGCTCAATTACGTATAAAAGATATGGCAGATTGGTCGAAGACGTTCCTAGCATGAAGCGCTTGACTAAGCTTCCGCCGGCGCAAGAAGTTTCGTTTAACTCGAATGAACGCCAATCTAGGTCGCATGGTGCCTGTGTATATAAATTCATGTACAAATAAACACCCGTTTGCAAAGTAGAACAGTGTTACCTGTCCTCGTTAACCTGAATGACCGAATATGTTAGCGTCTCACCTGGTGGCTATGGCACTTTAAAGTATCTGCCGGTTTTTCAGGCGGCTAGCCCCACGTGCATATTTCAGTTGTCTACCAGTTATATGGAATTTAATCCTTGCTAAAAAGCGTGTTGTATGAAGTCCCTAAGTACCCAGAATCTGCACTTCTATGGGATTTACAGTCATCTCCTGATGAGGCCTATCGTGCGTACATCATAATAAAGTCTGACTGGAAGGTCATTTGAATACATCCATTAGTGTCTTCCGGGGTGTCAAAAAGAGTACTGATAACAACGAGCTGATTAAAGGAGACGTTTTTGCGCCCGTCACCGTCTCCACAGCGTCGGACCAGTTCAAACCGGTCAAGCTAACGGCTTGTGTTGTCGTCTAATTCACGAACTCCAGCGCCCTAATCCCCTATCACTACCAAGAAGTCTCGTCTTGAGGTATTTTCAAGCACCTGCTGCAGGCGCTAGGAGAATCCACCCTTTAAACCTAGGTCCGACATAACTATGGGGGAGCAAACAGCTGTAGCAGTCAGGTTCAAGTAGGGTCCCTCTGAAAAGGGCAGCTGCGGACCTTGTAGATACCGGATTCCAGGAAGCCAGGACGTCGGTAGCACGGTTGTTTATGGAAAAAGCAACATGCGGTTTTATTTACCTGCCAATCCGCTGTGATAGGGTTAGTAAGAGGAACCTGATGCAACAGCCCGGAAGCGTCATGCACCACAGGTGGCCGAGTATCCGAAATGGAGCTGGTAACCGATCGACGGTGATAGACTGCACATGAAGATACTGTTGTAGGCAGCTCCAAATAGGGTAAGAATATTGAAGTAACCAACGAACGGTTCATTCCTCATCTTTATTGGTGTTCTGGCCAACTGTCATGAATATTCGTTGTGTTCACATTATCGTTTTGTATTAACCATGCTTTCACCTTCATTTTCAGCTTATGTACGTCTATTCTTAGAAAAATAAAGCGCTATTCATTCTACGCTATTCATTCTTGTTCTTGTGCTCAATCAGAATCGATATTCTGTTCGTAACAATTTACTTGTCTAAAAATAAAATGGAACCGTTGCTGCAACCCAAGTGTTTCGACGCAGATCCTAATTCTCCAGACGCAACAACGCGTTGGAATCGTTGGTTCCGAACCTCCCAAACGTTTCTGGGCACTGTCGAATCGCCCAATCTAAATAAACTCGGAACTCTGATCCATTTTGTGGATGCACCTGTATACGTTTATATCGCTGACTCGAATCAGCTATCAGTACACTTGAAAAGTTGTACGTTCGTCCTAAGAATATAATTTATGCTCGCCATCTTCTACAAACTTGCAAACAAGACACCAGTCAAGATGTTGATCAGTTTGTTCAGAGGCTTAAATCCTTGGCCAAAAATTGTGATTTCAAGGCAGTGTCCGCTATTGACCATCAAAACGAAAGTGTACGCGATGCTCTAATCAACGGACTTCAGTCTACTACCATCAGATAAAGACTTCTGGCTCAAAACGAAGTCTCTCGATGAAGCACATGAATTGGCTAGGTCATTAGGATTGGCCCACAAACAAGCTCAGTCATACTCACATAACTAGGCGATATCATTTTCTGCGGCTGCAGCACCTTTACAGACATCTACAGTTACCCCTTCACACTCAATCTCCCCTGATTCTACACCCTATCTCTCGTCAATCAATTCTCAAGTATGTTACTTTTGCGGTCGTTCCAGACATCCACGGTCAAAATGCCCCGCAAGAGAAGCAGTTTGTAAATCATGTGGCAAAACAGGCCATTTTCAGCGTGTTTGTCGATCCAAATCTGTAAAGAATCACTCAAATTGCACGATGGATTCTGCCTTATCTTCCCTGTTGACTGCTGCGGCCCCGGACTGCTTGTCTCGCACAGTGGCTAGAAGATATATGCTAACGACTCTGTGATCACCACGGCATCTACCTCTCTGACGTGTTCAACTAAAGGCTACTCCTACGCATCCATCGATTACAGGGGTACCGTTTACAAAAAAAATCAAACTATTGGTATTACCCAATCTATGTACTGACCTGCTGCTAGGCCATGACTTTCTTGGTCTACATAACGAAGTTGAAATCACATTCGATGGGGACCGAGGTCCATTCACCCTCTGCTACTACGGTCGAGTCATCTCCTCTTTTTGCTAACCTCTCACCCGACTGCAAGCCTATCGCTACAAAATCGCGACGTTATAATCCTGACGATGAACAATTTATCCGCTCTGAAGTCAACCGACTATTGGATGAAGGTATAATCGAACCTTCGAATTCTCCCTGGAGGGCTCAAGTACTGGTCACGAAAAGTTCAAACCACAAAAGTTGCATGGTAGTGGTCTACAGTCAAACCATTAATCGGTTCACATACCTAGACGCGTATCCGTTACCGCGACTGGATAAAGTGACTGGAGAAATTTCCCGTCATGCTGTCTTCAGCACCTTAGACCTATTGAGGGCTTACCATCAAGTTCCAATCAGTGAGCACGACAAATCGTATACGGCTTTTGAAGCACGCGGAGGGCTGTTCCAGTCCCGTCGTATTCCTTTCGGTGTGACCAACGGAGTAGCATGCTTTCAACGTACTATTGACCATATAACCAAGTCTGAGAACCTAAGTGACACCTACGCTTACATCGACAACGTCACTATTTGTGGGACTACCCAAAGTGAGCATGACCAGAGTCTCAAATCTTTCTTTGAAGTAATAAGAGAATATGGAATTACCCTTAACTGCAAGAAAAGCATCATAGCAGCCAAACAAATACGCCTTCTGGGCTACGAAGTCTCTAAAGGAATTATCAAACCAGATCCTGAACGAATGAAACCTATTCGTGAACTCCCTCATCCACATGACGCTAAATCCCAACAACGAGTTGTTGGTATGTTTGCTTATTATTCGCAATGGATACCATGCTTCTCTGACAAAATCAGTGTGCTTGTCAGAAATAAGACTTTCCCCTTACCGGAGCGTGTGCAACAGTCTTTCAAAAATTTAAAGAAGGAGTTAGAGAACGCCATGGTTGTGACAGTCGACTACAACGCACCATTGGTTGTCGAGACTGACGCCTCAGACATAGCCATTGCTGCATCTCTGACTCAGAACGGCCAACCGGTGGCCTTCTTTTCTAGAACACTGACACCGAGCGAAAAGAATCACTCTGCTATTGAGAAGGAGGCATACGCCATCGTTGAATCTATCCGTAAATGGAAGCATTATCTCTTCGGGAAGCACTTCAAGCTTATCACTGACCAGCGGTCAGTTTCCTTTATGTATGGTTCCTCGCAAAAAAGTAAGATAAAAAATGATAAAATTCAGCGATGGAAAATGGAACTTTCCGCTTTTAGCTACGATGTGAGCTACAGACCTGGAAAAGACAATCTGGTTGCTGACACCTTATCGCGTAACCTATGCGCCAATGTGATCGGCAATGATAAATTAAAAGAAATTCACGATTCCTTGTGCCATCCTGGAATCACTCGAATGCACCACTTTGTTCTTTCCAAAAACCTGCCGTTCTCTCTCCAAGATGTCAAGGACATCACCACAAAGTGTACGGTTTGCGCCGCCATCAAACCGCAGTTTTACAAACCACCCCCCGCTACGCTCATCAAAGCGACCCAACCATTTGAACGAATTAGCATCGATTTTAAAGGACCTCTACCTTCTGTTACTCGAAACCGGTATCTCCTTACCATCGTTGACGAGTTTTCTCGTTTTCCGTTTGCCTTTCCCTGCGCAGATACATGTGCGTCTACAGTTATTAAATGTCTGTGTGAGTTATTCTCTTTGTTTGGCATGCCTGCATATGTACATTCGGATCGTGGCTCCTCATTCATATCTGACGAACTGTCCACATTCCTACATGACAGGGGAGTTTGCACCAGCCGAACAACTTCTTATAATCCCCAGGGGAACGGGCAAGTCGAACGCCTCAACGGGACACTCTGGAACGCAATCCAGCTTAGACTCAAGACTAAAGGCCTTCAAATCTGTCACTGGGAGTCGGCTCTATACGGTCCCTTCTCTGCGTCTCCATGAATG